TATATTGTAAAATGGAAAACATAAGAATTTGTGCTTGGCAAAGCGAAAAATTTTGAACTGTTTGATTACCGTTACTAGAGTCTTCATCTTGAACGGAATACTGTTGATGATACTGAATCTTCCACGGTAGACTCCTGATATATATACAACCTGTGATACGAGAGAGAATGCTACAGCGTCTCCGAGATTCACATCACAGAATTAATTAAAATTATTAAAGGTGTAGGTTAAAATTTCATGTAATCGAAGACAGAATTATAGGTTCTCATTATCTAATGACAATTTTTTGAAAGATGTATACTATACATTCACTAAATCACTTATGGCCTGGAAATTGATAGACAAAGATCATATCTTGTCCTCGATATCAGGAAGTAGTTATCCAATAGTGAGTATGTAGCAAGCACTTCCGCTATCTTGAACATAGATGTTAGATAAATTTAGTTAATAGATATTGAGAGGACTTTCAACCTTCTTGATAAGTATTGTCTGCATTTGTTGTTCGATGAAAGTGAAACTAGAATATGGGTAATTATAAAATATTTTTATTTTTATTTTATATATGACATAAATAAAATTTAAACCATTTCTCTCTTTATAAAAGGAAATATATTATATTATAAAAATGAAAAATGTACATTGATTAAATAAATATGTATTTTAATTAGCAAAGTGTATCAAAATAAGATTATAAAGTATGTTTAAATAAAGGAAAAGAAAAAAGAGAAAAGAGAAGAGAAAGAAAAAATTGTCATAATATAAATATATAGTATAATATAATAAAAAAATACATGTAAAATTTATTTAAAGTAACAGTTTTTAAATCAAGTCTGTTAAATCCAAAAGAGTATGAAATTAGACACACACAATTTACGTTAAAATTATTATAAATGTTTAAAATAAAAATAAATTTAAATATAAATTCTGTTTTTATTACTTTAGCGTATTACTTCATTTTTATAATATAATATATTTCCTTTTATAAAGAGAGAAATGATTTTAATTATGTTTATACGAAGACATATAAAAATATAAAAAGTATTAAGTTTTAAGATTTTTATTTTCGAGATTTAAAAAAATTTATATAATTGACTTTAAGTGAAAATATTCGAAGCATACGTTGTGCTATCTTGATTCTTGCTTCTTAATTGTTTCTACCTCGATATTCTGCTTCGATGTTGCTTCTTAATTGTCTCTACCTCGATATTCTATGAGCTTTATGAGGAAAAATAAAGAAAAGAGATGTATAGAACAATTTATCAGTTACACACATCCAGAGTAAATAATATCTTTTTCTATTTCAGAAGATTGTGGTATTTTTATGATACTATAGAGCTAATTTTTTAAAATAATGCAGAAATTGCATATCTTTAGAAGAGAAAAAAGAAAGAGATAAATAAAATTAAAAGATTTTGAATAGCAAATTTTTTCAAGTTACACTTCTCGTTTTAAAGATCTTTAAAAAAAAAAAAAAATTGTGGTATAAATTTGTAAAATTGACAGATAACTACACATGACATATTAGGATTTTCGCTGCATCGCTATTGAAAACTAATTCTATAATCATAATCCACCGTTTATGTCATACTCGGATTAAAATAAGATACTATGATTTAATTCAACTATATATACTGTGTCATATATAACTATATAATCGTATATATACTGTTTATAATAAAAAAATTCATATATATAAACAATAAATTACAAACGAGAATTTTATATGCATATTAACTAAACGGTATCTCTATTTATCTATGCAAGTTTCCAATTATAAGAATATATAAGCTTATTATAATTTCAAACATATATATAAATTGAAAACACATATTAATATATTGCTATATTAAAAAAGTGTAAATACTTAAAAAAGGAGTAAGGTTATTGATTAAAATCCGTAAAATAAATTGTATATTAACTTTTATTGGTAAAACAATTTTTATGCGTAATAATTACAAAATATTCATATGACTGTCTAGATGTTCCTTAATGTACCGCCACCATATATTCTAAATGTATTCTCTTATATTGATATACGCAAAATACATGTAACATAAAATAATTTTCAATCCCAAGGATAATGCTGCTGTTTTTGTAAGTTCGCTTGATGAACCGCAGCTGCTATTGCATTTTCTTTCGCAGCTAATATATCCCTTTCCTGTGATTAAACATGATTATATTAGGAGTGTTGAATTTATATTCATAAAATAAGAAATAATATAATAATACTTTTATAGAATAAGATGCATTGAAAAATAATGTATTTTGAAATTTATATGTATATTACTACCTTAGCTTCCTGTTCGCTCTGATTAATTTGTTTATCAACATCCTGCTTTTGTAGTTCCGCAGCAGTTGCTGCTGCGTTTCTTTGAATCGCTATAGCTGCAGCGGTTTCTCTCGCTGCCGCTACCCTCTGTGCAGCTGCTGCAGCCCCTTTCAGGGTTGCTAATCTCTGTTGCAGCGCTACAAGTTGCCGAGCGCTGGCTTTAGCTTCGGCTTCAACGTGTTGGAAAATTTCTTGCGACCTGCGTAAAATATAATAGCGTAAGATATAATGTCATGGCTTGTGGGAATATGCCAAATGTAAAACAAAATCAAATAATTATTCGTACCTTGCGGCAGCTTCCCTTGCTGCTGCCTCCTTTGCTAATGCAATTTTCTGCTGAATCGACGCGACTTGCTTCGCTTCCGCCACTTTGTGCTGGGCCATAGCAACATTATTGTTCGCGTCTTTTGCCTGTTGAATTGCTCTTAGAATTTCCGGCGGATATGCGATACTGGGTGTACCAGGCGCCGGATCCTTCAAAGCCTGTTAAGTAAATTAATAGCTAATATATTTTTCAAGATTTGAATACGATTGTATGTCTTGCATTATTGTGCAACGACATACAAATACATGATAAATGCTGATACCTGAAGTGCCACATTGTGCGTGGCTTGAGCTTGAACTTGAGCAAGCGCTATATCTGAATTGCTCGATGGATTCCAGGCTGAAGCCGCAAAATTCGAGGGAGCCCACGATGCAGGACCGAATGCTGGCACGTTCCCAAAGAAATCAGACGGTCCAATAAATGCCACTCCGCGCTTTTGCTTTTTAGAATCTGATTTTAACTCTACCACAGACGCAATGGCAAATAAAAGCACGATCTATAAATAAATATTTATTTAATTTTTATTTTACTCTTTAAAAAACATACAATTATTTTTATAAAAAATTATTCAAAATAATTTGTTTTAAAATGTGTCTTGAAAATTTTTCCACAACTTGCATTATAAGTACAAATTAGCTATAAGAATATATATATATATTTTTTATTTATTATAATACATGAGATTTAAAATGTTTTGTAATACTATTTATTTAGACGTAGCAGAATCGAAAATGAATAAAGTTACCTTTACCAAAGTCTTCATCTTGCAAGGAATATTGCTGATGATACTGAACCTTGCATGATCGGTCTCCAGTATATATACAACTTATGATACGCGAGAGAATGCTCTTGCGTCTCCGGGATAATAGCAGAATCAATTAAGATTATTATAGGTGCACGTAAAAGAAAGATGTCTAATAATGATTTTTTGGGGAAATACATATATGCTATACAATCATTGCATAAGAGAGAGGGACTACTTACGATCTGGAAGTCGATGGACAAAGATCATATCTTGTTTTTGAATTCAGGAAGTAATTATCCATTGTTGAGTATATAGCAAATACTTCCGTTATCTTCATAGATGTTAGATAAATCTATTGTATTTAACTGATATTGTGTGAAAAGATTTTCTATTTTCTTAATAAATATTGTGTGTGTTTATATGTATACATAGATCGTTATATGCTTACATGGTCTTATGAGATTAATACTGGAAATGGATAAACAAAGTATTTATTTTTAATATTTTAATATATAAACATAAATCATAGAGATTTTAATTAATTTTATAATACTAATATAATTTCAATTAATTTATAACAACTGTTTCTTTATGAAGAAATAAATTATAGTACGTATATACGTAGATTAATTGTAAAAAGATATTGTAATTAGAGAAGACAAAATATATATAAAATAAAATTACAATACGTTTTAAAAACATAAAAGTATGATATAATTACTGTATAAAATAATTAAATAAAAGTAGTAGTAATTAAGTATGCATTAACAAATGTTCGATGCATAAAATATTTGATCTTCTCTAACAAAGCCATACAAAAATCTAGATTTTCACATTCCATGTATGTATCTCAGCTATCTCAGCTTATTTCTCAACTTAATATTTAGTTACATCATCACTTAGATTCCTATTAGATTTAAAATTCCTGCGTTTGTGAGAGAATGTACTCATTCGCTCACTACATTTGGCTTCCATAAAAAATAGCTGTATTGCCAGGATTTGACAATTGCTTCACATTCGATCTAACCATTTCCTCAGGCAAATATTTAGCTAATTTCCGAGTGTTTACGGAAGAATCTTTATTTCCGAGGGCAAGTTTGCTGCCAATTCTAGAATTTTTGAATTTGTAATATTTATTGTTAGCAGCGCGAATATTGCTGTCTTCTTTTTTAGTAGGAGAATACGTTTCGATCGCAACAACTTTAGTTTTCGACTGCTTAGAATACTTTCCGATCTTGGGATTTTTGTATCCAAACAACTCTTCATGAATCACTTTCGGTGCCTTTTTAGCAAAAATATCTGAACCATAAGCTGAGCTGTCTTTATAATCTGCCTTTGGTATTTTGCGATTCTTACGGGACACCCGGGGTGCTTGACTTGTCGATTCTTCAAATTGCTCGTGATTTATATGAAACCGATTATTATTTTTTTGTTGTTGTTTAGAAGATATCGGATTATTATAGCTATCTATTTCTGGCACTTCTTTCACATGCATATATTCTGTAAGTAGAAACATTAAGTCAATATAACTATTTTTGATAAGAATTGAGTGTATTGGTTTATTAATCACAAATTAAAGAATATAAATTTATATATAATTCTCTTTCTTTAAAGATTAATGAATTTATATCTGTATAGTTTTTCATCAATAGATAATATTGTATTATTTTAAAATTGTACATAGTTTT